CACCTCGATCTTCCGTTAATTGCCTGAATCCACCAGAGCAGGAGACGAGGGTTTCACCCAGCAGTACTAGAGGTAACGTCTACTTTTCTTAATATTGTTGGTGTTGAAGATTCGCTCCCTGGAACAAAAAGTTCCAATTAGCACGGACTATGGTGAGCCCGTAATGGACTTTTTTTCCCTTAAGGGCAGAACTCAACACGTGGTAACATGTGACCAGGAGCAGCCACCCCACAGGCAACACTCGGGGCTCAACACTCCGCCCTACAGAATCACTAACTACTCTTACAACAATTAATGACACGGTAACATTAACAGATAATTATCTTGTAGTTAAAGAACAACAACAACAACAACGTACAAGAATGTAACAACTCTTGTATATATCTCAAAAAAAAAAAAAAAAAAAAAGCGTCCAGACCTAACAGCCACCAGTAGACAAGACCATACCCCCCCCCCCCATGCGGTTGCTGCCTAAGTCAGTTAACTGATCGTACAGTAACAATTACTAATCTGGTTAAAACTAAGCTGGTTAACTTAGTTTATTTGTTACTAGTCAATTCATAGCATAACTAACATCCTAGCTTTATGCTACACTAACATTGAATTATCACAGAGAATACCAGCTCTGAGAGCATCAAGTTGTTCCTACGTCTGGCAGGGAAGTGGAACCATCAACTAAGCAGAAGTTTCATGTCCTCTTGAATATTTAAACGGCCACAGCTTTCACACCTACAAAAAAAAACCCACACATCAATTAATTCTCTATAATTTAACTAAACACAATCCCATACATAATCCCAACCAATCAGAGCCAATCACTAGAAAATACTAAAGTGAATGGTCCCTACATGAATGTTAAACTGGACCAATATGAACCTGGTTTCTTTGCCGTGGCAATTAAGACCCCCCCCCAGGGGTCGTAACAGTTCCCCAGTGTCCTTAAGTCATAACTACTGGCCTGGTGGTCGTAACTATCCCAGCTCGCACGTTCTGTTAGTCAGAGAGAGGCGGGGGGATAGTCCCAGTAGTAAGACAAGAGGCGGGGGGGGGGACTCACTTTAGGCCTCAGCCTCCCATGGGGCTGGGGGGGATAGAGGGGTCTGGAGGCTAGGACGAGGGGATAGAGGGTTTCTGGAGGCTAGGACGAGGGGATAGAGGGGTCTGGAGGCTAGGACGAGGGGATAGAGGGTTTCTGGAGGCTAGGACGAGGGGATAGAGGGATCTGGAGGCTAGGATGAGGGGATAGAGGGGTCTGGAGGCTAGGACGAGGGGATAGAGGGGTCTGGAGGCTAGGACGAGGGGATAGAGGGGTCTGGAGGCTGAGACGAGGGGATAGAGGGGTCTGGAGGCTAGGACAAGGGGATAGAGGGGTCTGGAGGCTAGGACGAGGGGATAGAGGGGTCTGGAGGCTAGGACGAGGGATAGAGGGGTCTGGAGGCTAGGACGAGGGGATAGAGGGGTCTGGAGGCTAGGACGAGGGGATAGAGGGGTCTGGAGGGTAGGACGAGGGATAGAGGGGTCTGGAGGCTAGGACGAGGGGATAGAGGGGTCTGGAGGCTGGGACGAGGGGATAGAGGGGTCTGGAGGCTAGGACGAGGGGATAGAGGGGTCTGGAGGCTAGGACGAGGGGATAGAGGGGTCTGGAGGCTAGGATGAGGGGATAGAGGGGTCTGGAGGCTAGGACGAGGGGATAGAGGGGTCTGGAGGCTAGGACGAGGGGATAGAGGGGTCTGGAGGCTGGGACGAGGGGATAGAGGGGTCTGGAGGCTAGGACGAGGGGATAGAGGGGTCTGGAGGCTAGGACGAGGGGATAGAGGGGTCTGGAGGCTAGGACGAGGGGATAGAGGGGTCTGGAGGCTAGGACGAGGGGATAGAGGGGTCTGGAGGCTAGGACGAGGGGATAGAGGGGTCTGGAGGCTGGGACGAGGGGATAGAGGGGTCTGGAGGCTGGGACGAGGGGATAGAGGAGGCTGCTATATAAACCACAGCCCAGTCTTCTTCTCTTCCCAAAATGGAGAAATTTAGTGAGAAAAAGACAGATGTAAATAACGGAAGTGAACATAGAAATAAGAAAAATCTGTAAACAAACTGTGAATAAGAGGTATTGGTGCTTGAATTATTGGATACAAATGTGTATATTTGGTGTATTTTAACTTTAATTGGTGTATGAAATACAATATTTTGTTTTTTCTTCCAGGTTAGTCACCAACCACTCTATACGTGTTCGCTCGTCGTACTGTGAGTAATTAGTAGTTGTATTTAGACAGTTGTAGTTAGAAATTTACGTTAACATTAATTCCAATTTTTGTATACATTAAAAGATGGAGTTTATTTCGGAATATATTTTTTAGAAATAAAGATTTCGTATATTATTACAAATGTAGAAAAGGTAAGTTTGGTTTGAATGTTTTTTTTTTAAATAATGACAGAAATTCAGGTTTCGGAAGATTTGTTGAAAATTTAAATATTGTTTGGAAGTATTTATTGAAAAATTTCCACGTGTTGGTAGAAAATGGTGAATAAATTTGAATATGTGTGTGAACTTTTGACAAATGTTAAAGAATGGTATTTTTACACTGTGATTGGCCTGTCAGTCATGTTGTCAACGAGAGCTCTCAACCACCTGTCATATTGTTAGTGACAGCTCCTGGCCGCCAGTCACGTCGTCAGTGACTGCTCCGAACTAGGGAAACGGAGTACCTAACGGACTGGAAACATCGGGTCATACGACAGACGCGTCGTCAAACACTAAGGATGTGAACGTTAATATTTCATAAAGGATCATCCCTATGTCCGTTACTGTTCCTCACCTCTGGAAAGTTAAAACCAAAGAGTACTGTAAAATGCTACAGGGAAAAAAATATCCAGGAGTGTGTAGGCTGTTAGACTTCAACTCTAACAAGTGTAAGGTAATGAAATCTAGAAAGGGTGATTGGAGAACAGAAGGAATTTAGATCTTAAGGGTCAAGAAACTACAGGAATAGGAAAGATAAGACAAGCCGGTAGATCAGGGCAGCAGGATAAAAAGCTGGCCATGTTGACGCCCCCAAGAAGGCGCGAGAGGTGTGTGTCGGGGGCCATAATGGTGGGTGGTGATGACTGTAAATATTGGTACACGGGGGACACAATGAGGAGATCAACCCGGGCATCTTGATGAGTGATAAGCGCGCCATTGACGGTGGGGCCCTGCTGGTGCTCGCCCCACCCAACACGGCCTCGGAGCCCGCCTCATCACGGAGAACTCTTTACCTTTAACTTCCCCGAGGGGTAACGAGGGTGTCTCCCCAGGCACACGCACTACCGGATGAACCATGATGAGCTCAAAAAAGAACCTCAGTATCTATTGAAGCCATGCAATGGGATCGAAGCTCGGGACTCCAGAGTGTGGGTTCTATTTCTCGTAAAAAAAAAAAAAAAAAAAACTTGGGTTGTGGTGCTGTGTGGTTCCTTGCAAGCTCCACCGTCTGGTGGTACTCCAGATTGGGATCCTTTAGCGGGTTATATCGTGGTTCAGTGGGTAGTGCATGTGTCTGTGGTGTCCATGGACGAGAGTTCGATCCCATGCTATAGCCTCACTAGTAACACATATCTATCTATTCTATCTGATCCCAAGATAGTTTGGGAAAGAGTTCCGAAGGGCCCTTCGAGGGTGACACATCGTCACTTATACGATGCTTGATGGCTACTTGATACCTTGTACACTAATACGTCGCATTTATTACGGACCAACACGTTCAAATAGCGACGTATTATTACACATTCAAGCACCGTAATATTGACGTATTCTACGCATCGGCCTCGATAAGTTAGGTGGGTTGCTTGGGTTTGTACGTTTCCGGTTAGGTTAGGGTACGTTCGGTACAACGGTCACATTTCTGACGAAGTGGCTAGTTGAGTGGAGGAGCCGAGGAGTGGTGACCGTACAGGGGAGCTGTGGCGCCTGTCAGGTGTGTCCAGCATATTGGCAAAGAGTGATGTAATCCTCTGAGATGTAATCCTCGGTAGTGTAATCCTCTGTGATGCAACGCTACGCGATGTAATCCTCCCTGGTGTAATCCTCTATCATGTAATCCTCCGCGATATAGTCCTCCATTATGTAATCCTCCCGGGGTGTAATCCTCCATGATGTAAACCTTCATCATGTAATCATCCATTATATAATCCTCAATTATGTAATCCTCCCTGGTGTAATCCCCCCTGGTGTAATCTTCCATCATATAATCCACCGTGATATAATCCTCCATGATGTAAACCACCATGATGAAATCCTTCTGGGTGTAATCCTTCGCGATATAATCCTCCATGGTGTAATCCTCCATCATGTAATCCACGGGTTCCAGCTGGACATGGGAGACTTGACCCCGCCTGGAGACGTCGTCGTCGTCGTCGTCGTCGTCTCCGGCTCCGTTTATGGTCCCCAAAAGATGAGGACCAGGTCTCTCCCGGCGACCACCAGTACTCTAGTCCTCCCTCCGTGAGAACGGGTGGACGGGGTATGATCAGAGAATACCTGCTGGGATAGCAGGATGGAGTGAAGTGTCCAACCACTTGGTGAGCTGTAGTTACAGTTAGCTGGTGAGCTGTAGTTACAGTTAGCTGGTGAGCTGTAGTTACAGTTAGCAGGTGAGGTGTAGTTACAGTTAGCAGGTGAGGTGTAGTTACAGTTAGCTGGTGAGGTGTAGTTACAGTTAGCTGGTGAGGTGTAGTTACAGTTAGCTGGTGAGGTGTAGTTACAGTTAGCTGGTGAGGTGTAGTTACAGTTGGCTGGTGAGGTGTAGTTACAGTTAGCTGGTGAGGTGTAGTTACAGTTGGCTGGTGAGGTGTAGTTACAGTTAGCTGGTGAGGTGTAGTTACAGTTAGCAGGTGAGGTGTAGTTACAGTTAGCTGGTGAGGTGTAGTTACAGTTGGCTGGTGAGGTATAGTTACAGTTAGCTGGTGAGGTGTAGTTACAGTTAGCAGGTGAGGTGTAGTTACAGTTAGCTGGTGAGGTGTAGTTACAGTTAGCTGTAGTTATAGTTAGCTGGTGAGGTGTAGTTACAGTTAGCTGGTGAGCTGTAGTTACAGTTAGCTGGTGAGGTGTAGTTACAGTTATCTGGTGAGGTGTAGTTACAGTTAGCTGTAGTTATAGTTAGCTGGTGAGGTGTAGTTACAGTTAGCTGGTGAGCTGTAGTTACAGTTAGCTGGTGAGGTGTAGTTACAGTTAGCTGGTGAGGTGTAGTTACAGTTAGCTGGTGAGCTATAGTTACAGTTAGCTGGTGAGGTGTAGTTACAGTTATCTGGTGAGGTGTAGTTACAGTTAGCTGGTGAGCTATAGTTACAGTTAGCTGGTGAGGTGTAGTTACAGTTAGCTGGTGAGGTGTAGTTACAGTTAGCTGGTGAGGTGTAGTTACAGTTAGCTGGTGAGCTATAGTTACAGTTAGCTGGTGAGCTATAGTTACAGTTAGCTGGTGAGCTGTAGTTACAGTTAGCTGGTGAGCTGTAGTTACAGTTGGCTGGTGAGCTGTAGTTACAGTTAGCTGGTGAGCTGTAGTTACAGTTGGCTGGTGAGCTGTAGTTACAGTTAGCTGGTGAGGTGTAGTTACAGTTGGCTGGTGAGCTATAGTTACAGTTAGCTGGTGAGGTGTAGTTACAGTTAGCTGGTGAGGTGTAGTTACAGTTAGCTGGTGAGGTGTAGTTACAGTTAGCTGGTGAGCTGTAGTTACAGTTAGCTGGTGAGCTGTAGTTACAGTTAGCTGGTGAGGTGTAGTTACAGTTAGCTGGTGAGGTGTAGTTACAGTTAGCTGGTGAGCTATAGTTACAGTTAGCTGGTGAGGTGTAGTTACAGTTAGCTGGTGAGGTGTAGTTACAGTTAGCTGGTGAGGTGTAGTTACAGTTAGCTGGTGAGCTGTAGTTACAGTTAGCTGGTGAGGTGTAGTTACAGTTAGCTGGTGAGCTGTAGTTACAGTTAGCTGGTGAGGTGTAGTTACAGTTAGCTGGTGAGGTGTAGTTACAGTTAGCTGGTGAGGTGTAGTTACAGTTAGCTGGTGAGCTATAGTTACAGTTAGCTGGTGAGCTATAGTTACAGTTAGTTGGTGAGCTATAGTTACAGTTAGCTGGTGAGCTATAGTTACAGTTAGCTGGTAAGGTGTAGTTACAGTTGGCTGGTGAGGTGTAGTTACAATTAGCTGGTGAGCTATAGTTACAGTTAGCTGGTGAGCTATAGTTACAGTTAGCTGGTGAGCTATAGTTACAGTTCCCTGGTGAGCTATAGTTACAGTTCCCTGGTGAGCTATAGTTACAGTTCCCTGGTGAGCTATAGTTACAGTCCACGTCTCCCGGGAGCGCTGGTTCCTGTACCCAGGCCTACTACAGTCATCCATAGTCGCGTGTCTACCCGTACAGATACCTGCCACATAAGCCTAGACACCAGTGCAGGTGTAGTCTTGTAACTCTTGCACCTGTGAATGTGCAAGAGTTACATGAAGGGGTAACTCAAGAGAATGTCAAGGGATAAACAGGGGCTTTTAAGACCAAACCAGCTTGGATATCAATCACTGGTGGGAGCAGAACCGTCAGGGAATATGATCCTGACATACAAGATACGCAAGAGCGTTGAAGTACAAGTAAGTAGATACCCCAGTCATGGTGTGAGTGTTGAGCATGGGTAATGGTTTGGAGGAAGAGGTAGATGAGGAAATAAGTAGCTTCGAGGGCAAATAACTCCAAAAATCGTGGAAGATTCTCTCTCTTTCTCTCACACACACACACACACACACACACACACACACACACACACACACACACACACACACACACACACACACACACACACGCACGCCGCACACGCATTAACACCAATACCAACATAATAGATCACACCACATCAACACCACATCATCACCACATCAACACCACATCAACACCATAGATCACACCACATCAACACCACACATCACACATCAACACCACACATCACACCACATCAACACCACACATCACACATCAACACCACACATCACACCACATCAACACCACACATCACACCACATCAACACCACACATCAACACCATACATCACACCACATCAACACCACACATCACACCACATCAACACCACACATCACACCACATCAACACCACACATCACACATCAACACCACACAACACACCACATCAACACCACACATCACACCACATCAACACCACACAACACACCACATCAACACCACACATCACACCACATCAACACCACACATCACGACCACACAACACACCACATCAACACCACACATCAACACCACACATCACACCACATCAACACCACACATCACACATCAACACCACACATCACACCACATCAACACCACACAACACACATCAACACCACACATCACACATCAACACACACCACACCACATCAACACCAAACAACACACATCAACATCACACATCAACACCACACATCAACACCACACATCACACCACATCAACACCACACATCACACATCAACACCACACATCACACCACATCAACACCACACAACACACATCAACACCACACATCACACATCAACACACACCACACCACATCAACACCACACAACACACATCAACACCACACATCACACATCAACACACACCACACCACATCAACACCACACCACGAATCACACATCAACACCACACATCACACATCAACACACATCACACCACATCAACACCACACATCACACCACACATCAACACCACATCAACACCACACATCACACCACACATCAACACCACATCAACACCACACATCACACCACACATCAACACCACACATCAACACCACACCAACACCACATCAACACCACACATCAACACCACACATCAACACCACACCAACACCACATCAACACCACATCAACACCACACATCAACACCACACATCAACACCACACATCAACACCACACCAACACCACATCAACACCACACATCACACCTTATATCATAACTTATACCACACATCAACATCACACATCAACACCACACATCAACACCACACATCACACCACATCAACACCACACCAACACCACACATCAACACCACACGTCAACACCACACATCAACACCACACATCACACCACACATCAACACCACATCAACACCACACATCACACCACACATCAACACCACACATCAACACCACACCAACACCACATCAACACCACACATCAACACCACACATCAACACCACACCAACACCACATCAACACCACACCAACACCACACATCAACACCACACATCAACACCACACATCAACACCACACCAACACCACATCAACACCACACATCACACCTTATATCATAACTTATACCACACATCAACACCACACATCAACACCACATCAACACCACATCAACACCACACCAACACCACATCAACACCACACATCAACACCACACATCAACACCACACCAACACCACATCAACACCACACATCACACCTTATATCATAACTTATACCACACATCAACATCACACATCAACACCACACATCAACACCACACATCACACCACATCAACACCACACCAACACCACACATCAACACCACACGTCAACACCACACATCAACACCACACATCAACACCACACATCACACCACACATCAACATCACACATCAACACCACACCAACACGACACATCAACATCACACATCAACACCACACATCAACACCAGACATCACACCACACATCAACACCACACATCAACACCACACCAACACCACACATCAACATCACACATCAACACCACACATCACACACCAACACCACACATCACACATCAACACCACACATCAACACCACACCAACACCACACATCAACACCACACATCACACCACACATCACACCACATCAACATCACACATCAACACCACACATCACACCACATCAACACCACACATCAACACCACACATCAACACCATACATCAACACCACACATCAACACCACATCAACACCACACATCACACCACATCAACACCACACATCACACCACACATCACACCACATCAACATCACACATCAACACCACACATCAACACCACACATCAACACCACACATCACACCACATCAACACCACACATCAACACCACACATCACACCACACATCACACCACATCAACACCACACATCAACACCACACCAACACCACACTTCAACATCACACATCAACACCACACATCACACATCAACACCACACATCACACCACACATCACACCACATCAACATCACACATCAACACCACACATCAACACCACACATCACACCACATCAACACCACACATCAACATCACACATCAACACCACACATCAACACCACACATCATCACCACACATCAACATCACACATCAACACCACACATCAACACCACACAACACCACACATCACACCACATCAACACCACACATCAACATCACACATCAACACCACACATCAACACCACACATCACACATCAACACCACACATCAACACCACACATCAACATCACACATCAACACCACACATCAACACCACACATCAACACCACACATCACACCACACATCAACACACATCAACATCACACATCAACACCACACATCAACACCACACATCAACACCACACATCAACACCACACATCAACACCACACATCACACCACATCAACACCACACATCAACATCACACATCAACACCACACATCAACACCACACATCAACATCACACATCAACACCACACATCAACACCACACATCACACATCAACACCACACATCAACACCACACATCAACATCACACATCAACACCACACATCAACACCACACATCAACACCACACATCACACCACACATCAACACACATCAACATCACACATCAACACCACACATCAACACCACACATCAACACCACACATCAACACCACACATCACACCACATCAACACCACACATCAACACCACACATCACACCACACATCAACACACATCAACATCACACATCAACACCACACATCAACACCACACATCAATACCACACATCAACACCACACATCAACATCACACATCAACACCACACATCAACACCACACATCAACACCACACATCACATCACACATCAACACCACACATCAACACCACACATCAACACCACACATCACACCACATCAACACCACACATCAACATCACACATCAACACCACACATCAACACCACACATCACACATCAACACCACACATCAACACCACACATCAACACACCACATCAACACCACACATCAACACCACATGTCGGAAAATCCGACACCATTTAATATATCATACAGATAATAGCTGTGTTGTATAAACAAGTTACCCATAGAAAACGTAACTTGTAGTGGAATTACCGTTTAAAGAAAACGGGATATCATCACCACATACTACTATTATAATTCACCACCTATTATGGTGGGAATTATTCTTAAATACATTAGTCTTTGGACTTAACCATCATAAAAACATCTTATATAAATTAACTTAATTATCAATATTAAAGTAGAGTAAATGTGACCCTTCTATCACTTTCTGACATGTGGACAATGTAAGCCAGGCGTCAGAGTGAGGAAGGAGGGCAGCCATTGTTTTTATTGAGACCAGAGGCTCACACGGGAGCAAATTCGGCTCCTGTTAAATTTACTTGGACGTAGTGTTATGGAAACTAAAAGTGTACCATTATCAACACGCTGTCTACAAATTCAAGTTAAGTGTCTATCCGAAACCCGTTTATCATTCATTTATGGCCATTAATGTCAGGATATAGGGTGACCCGGTTAGATCACGAAATCGCCTCAAACTAAAGGTAATTAAGCCAGGTCTTCATTGTTCCATGTATAGTATTTTCTCTGATATAGCTTGTCATATATAGAATCTGGCTTCACAGTTAGCGCCCTTTTGACAGGTCAAGACGAGGAAGCAAGATTTTGTGCACCAGTTACTGGGTGATGGAAGCTACCTCAAAGAGGATAATTTGGTGTCTACACCCTAGTTATACCTGGTGGACTAACCTGCTGTACTATAAGATAAGGAACCTTTTCAATGTATGTAGTTAATACTGTAGTTTGATTGGCTGCATATATATTAATTTAATAAACCCCCCCTAATGTGTAGAGGATCGATTTGTGAGATTAAGAGATTATTGCAGAAATACAGTCCACTTATCATTATACAAATTGCTATCGAAGTATATAAATTAACGTAAATATAAATTCATATAAATTAAATAAATATAAATCTCACAGGTCGGTTCCCACACCACACATCAACACCACACATCAACATCACACATCAACACCACACATCAACACCACACATC